GTGGATTGATTGATTAGATGCCATCAAATTGGTGTTAAGTCTTAGCAACCAGGCACATTTCTGTACATATAATTCCCTGAAGTTATAAAGATAAACTAGAGAAGTATTAAGTCCCAAGCTGAGTTCTCAACATCTTCTGTTGGGTCCCAGGAGTAAATATACTATTAATACATAGTAATTGTATTTTAATTTTAATCCAATCTGTTTTTATTTTGGACTTTTCCTTTTTGTTGCATTCAAATAGCTAGTCTGACATGTAAAAATTGTACAAAAAGGGGAGGTAGTATGTTAAAAATATGATTTAACATAAATAATATGGATAGCAATTTCATAAAAAAATCTAATAAGGAAATGAAAAACGTAATAAAGATTTTAAAACAACAGGACTATTAAAAAACCCCACAGAATTAAACTGAAGTAACCTAATAAAAGTAACCTTTTGAACACCTAGAGGTAGATCATAATCTTTTTTTTTTTTTTTTTTGCCTGTTTTTCTGTTTTTGGCATTTTTTTATGTTACGGGGAACATTAAAGGACAAATTGGATATGAAAGACCATAATTTCCCATTTTAAAACTGCTTCCTGCTCCACAAAATTTGTGGTTCCCCACTCACTTTTAGAAGTGATCCTCAATATGCTACCTAAAGCCTAGTGAGCTATAGCTCACTTTCATTTTTAGATAAGACTTGAGGCCAGCTCTTTGTAGGAAGAAATGGAATGAATCAATGCAAATTATATCACCCTGTCATTCTAGATAAAGAATCCTCGCCAATGATGCTCTAAAATTCAATGTTACAGAGAACCTAATAGACAGATCTTCATTCTTCTTACAATTTTGCTGGATCTGTTAGAAGCCACTGTCCTCCTCCTCCTCCTTCTCCTCCTCCTCCTCCCCCATTAGCAGGAAAACTAGCACACTATTTGACAGCATTAATTGCACATTATACCAGACTCATTTTATCTCTAGCATCTTCTATCTGATAGAATTGACACACTTTTTCTGATGCTTGCTAAATACTGCTATATCACCTGCAGATATCAAAAGAGGTTAATTGCATAATGATTTCTGTGAATACAGTACCCTAGCACTCTATTTTCTAAACCATGTAATAAACTGAAATACCAAAATATTAACATTACAGATGGATGTTTGTAAGGCTACTATTTTGGAATTTTAGTTTATTAAATGGTTATTGATCAAAAAAGGGAAATATTTATACTGCTAGTATTTTTATTACACCTTTTATATAAATGTCACTAATAAAATACTAGGAAAATAGTTTATTTATCCACAATGGGTTTTATAGGTTTCTTGTTTATAACTCTATGCTATACATTATTTACTGTATTCACAGCTAAATAAATGCTATGTACTGGTTTTTGATTGCTACTGTCTTTTATTATTCAGTGCAAGCAGTACATTAAAACCATGAAGACATAGCCCATAAAGACATAAATCAAATAGAATAAATTCAATTTTTTGGCTGGATTTTCCTAGTTTTTCCAATTTTAAAGACAAGGTTTGTTTTAAAAGGGAGGATTATTTCAATTCAATGTTTTTATAATTACCTCTAGATCCAGTAGGTCTATTATACTCTGATTTAGTGAAAATATATAAAATGTCTGTGTTTACACAGCTTACTTAACTAGGTTTCTAACTACTCACTTCCTGGAATTATATCATATTGATAACTTGGTGAGAGGTGATTATTATATTGAAATATATTCTGTTACCATGATAAGTCTCTTTCTAGGAGTACCAACAGCATCCATCGGCTTTCCCGATGCCACTGTAGTCAAGTACATAGCTGGTAAATAAACAAGTTTTTAATTGCAAATACAAATAGCCCACAAAGTCACAAAAATTAGTTTCTTTGTTTCTAAGATTCTGCTCATATATATGTATCTCTAAGTTTAAACTCTGAGTTTCTCCCCTCCCACTCCTTTGTGGTAATGGGTTGCACACCAACCTTACCTGGTCTTGGGTCCATTATTTTCTGCCTTGAAAGACCCAACCATCTCATTTTCAGTCTATTAATATACCTACAGGTAAATTGTTCACATAAAACACCCTTAGCTGAGTGAACGTGATGAATGAGAGCTATCCACAGCGAATGCTGTGCAGCAATGCTCTCTTTTCTACTTCAAACTCACTAATGGTTGAGTTTCCAACACTCTTTTTCTTCAGATTCCAAAAAGGAAAATAAATAAGATCACCTTCTGGAGTATGTGGCATATGCACTATTCTAAACCAGTAATGTAAATTATACCTACACAAGTGCATGTTGTTTCAATTTCAGTTTACTTTTTTATTGATTAGCCTTTGGGCCACATCAAAGTGCAGAATTCCAGACACAAATTATTACTAAAATTGAATAAAAATAATTTAAAATGGAATTGGATAAAATACAATTTAAAATGAAATTGGAATAAGCACAGTTTAAAATGAAATTGGAATAAAATACAATAATTTAATATATAGATAAATAAAATATGATAAAATTATATTTCAGTATCACCCCTACAATCTACCCCAATCAGTCCCACATATGCCGATCTCAACCAAACCATTTTGCTTAAGTACTGCGTTGTGTTAAATGTTATTTGCAGATTCTGGCTGCACATAAGGTAAGTTGTTTTGATACGGGGATCCCAATAGGTCATTTGTTTGGTATATATACCAAATGAATGCATGTTGTTAGAAACATATATTTGTGTGCATTTGTTTCAAAATATTTTTGGAGGGGTGGGAAACTGGAAAAAAAAAGCTTTCCAAAAGAGCTAATCTTTGCAACAGAACCCTAAAAGGCACTTCTCTATTTAAGATACCAAATCAGTCTTGCAGTGAATATTTCCCCTGCCTCACCCCAGAAAATTCATTAAAATATTGTATGGATGTCAAACTGCAATACTAACTAAATTGGCATGGAATTGGCCTAGTGGAAGCATGAGCTGAAAAGTAGTTTACAGAGGCAATCTCTGCTGATAAAGAGAGACTCACAGACTTAAGGCCAATGTGCTGGAAATGGTTTTATCCATATGAAATCCATAAACAGTGCTGAATTTCTGAGAATTGTGAAGAACAAACTTGCAATGCATTAGCACGGATTTACAGTGGCATACAATAAGCAGTAATTCAGTAAGGACATTGTGTGACAGGATTCACAGAGATGAACAGAGTGATCCAAATTAACAAAATTTGCACAGCCATTAAAAAAAAAAAAGCTTTGGATAGCAGCATTCCAGAGATACTGTCTGAAAAAGACATCTCTAGTTGTGAATATTATGTCACAACTAAAGTAAAGTATATGGATTACTTTCTAAAATCTCTTGCATAAGGTTATGGAAAATGCACACAAGGAGGGAAAATAGTATGAAGGAGAAGAAATTGGAAAATAGAAAAAAAAATCCAAAGGAGAAACAAAAAGAATAAGAAATCAGCTTATCAAACAAAGCATTTGCACTGAATTAAAGTAACTCCATTGTTACATGAAATATGACAAAACTCTGAGAAAGCATCAATATGATCAAAGACAAAAGGGATCAAGAAAATCTCAAGAAATAAAGATAAATGAGACAGAAGAAAAATGGAAAGAAAAAAAATCAGAAACAGAAAAAGAGATAAATGCAAAACTCTTTATTTTATGTATACCACTTATTTTGAAACAAAATGGATACACATATCTACCACCCCACAAACACTTGCTTCTTTGTATACATAATTTCTATTCTATTTTAATATTTCCAAACAAATTTTGTATCTTTTATTATATGTGAATTTTCCTGCAGAATATCCTATATAAAAACATTTTAACACAATGATATATCATTGCATTCAGATGTTGCTCATACATGAATTTTATTTGATTTTTCGGAAATGCCTTACATCTTTTAAAAAGGTTATCTGAGAGAACATACTGAAAGACAAATCTTGAATTTACTATACAGCTCCATGCCTATAAACTTTACTGTACAGCTCCATGCCTATAAACACACCAAGAAGAAGGGAAAATATCAAACATATATTTAAAGCTTCTTTTCTTTGTTAAAACTTCCAGAATGTCAACCTCCAAATTATTACTCAGTCTTTCAACTTGTCCGAACTAACCTGGATTTAGGGGATAGAGCCAATCTTTAGAAACCCAATGTTAGGGACATAGACTTGATTAGAAAATTGAAAAGAAGAAGCAGATAATGATAAAATATGTCAGTATTTCCACCACCAACACTACGTAAAAATTCCATGAAGATGTCACCCAGTGCTGGCATTGACTAAAATGAGACATCATAATGTCCTTAACAACTGTTACTGTTTTCATACTGATGGGTTCTGATTTGTATTATCAGTGTTGCATATATTGCATGCAAGTAAAAACTAGAGTGCTGCAATCATCCAATTTTTCCCACATTTCAAAGCCAATGATTGTTGTTATAGATATATGGCTTTACTTTGATATAAACTAATTAATCAAATATGTAAGAAGCCATATTTACTAGTAGCAATTTTGTTTAGTGGAGTATACATTAAGCTATTTTGTCATTTACAAAATAACTAATTTTTAGCTTGATGGTTAGAACAACCCACATTGAAAAATTCAACATAGCTCCAATTCTTAGCTATTTGAATTTTCAAAATCCTACTCAATAGCTGTTTGCTTTGTGTTTATAACTGTATGTTGTGAAAATGTATTATTTAAAGTTGGTAGCTATGCATTGGTCACAATCAGCTTTCCGGAACTCCAGAACCTGTGAAGATACCACTGTCTGAGAAAATATCCTTCTTATTAGGAAACTGAAATAATTTGTCTACATAACAAATTGATAGTTGGAATCAAATTTAGGAGTATTATGTTTGAATGAAAGTTTCAGATGTATCATATAGATTTCTCCACAAAATAAGCATAAGGTTAAAGAAAATACATGGGATTTTAACTGCAATATGGATTCAATACAATGCAATACAATACATATAACATTAAAAAACAAAACCTGCTACTTACCAAATTCTTTAGGAACTGAAATCGAGTAAATGCAGTTATGTCCTATGCTATAGTTTTTAGGATAGTTTGGTGATAAAACCGTTCCTTCAGAACCCATGGAACGTATTCCACAAGGTGCTACAAAGTAAAAGATAATTCATTTCACAATATGATAGGACAAAGCAGTTAATAAATAAGCAAAATTAAACTCTACCTTCAGAAATAATTCAATGGATTAAATCACACATTTCATGTAGTTTTTCTCACTTTCTGAGTAAACAAACAATTTTAATTATTGCAATGCTATTGACAGGTTTGGGAGCTAGAACAAGGAATGATCTTAGAATGGTTTACATTGAATGGTCATTAAACAAATGGTTGAAAGTCAAAGACTACTGTATTGACTTTAAGTGTGGCTATATAGCAGTATTTCTCAATCTTGGGAACTTTCACGTTCATAGAAGTCAACTCCCAGGGTAAGTCTGGGACAAAATAAAAAGAAATCACTATATGAAAATACCAACATAGCTGTCAATGGAAGCAATGATATACCCTAATGCATTAGATATAAATAAGATGATAAAATATAAAGAGCTATTAGATGAAAAAGGGCAACTAAAAACTCAACAACAATTAAAGATTCAAGGAATAGAAATGGTGGTGGCCATATTTCCACATTCAAACACGGTATAAAAAGGATCGGGAATAATTCGGCTTTTATTGAACTCAATAACAATTAGATAAAATTTTACAAAAGACTGGGAAACTGATTAGCAAAGTATATAATTATTTACTAGAATATAAAATGGAAAAAGAAATAGTAAAAGAGAATATGATAATCTGGGCTAAACATTTAGGATATGGTATTGATTTGGAACAATGGGAAAAATTATGGCAGATAAATTATAAACTAATGCTGTCAGTTGCATACAAGGAGAATCTCTATAAAATGTTCTACCACTGGCATCTCCCCCCAGCGAAGTTAGCCAAGATGTTTACAAATATATTGGCAAAATGTTGGAGATGTAATCACATCCAAGGAATATATTCTCATATGTGGTGGACCTTCCCCAAGCACAGAAGTATTGGCTTAAAATTAAAACTTGGTTGGAAGAAATAATGAGACAAAGAATTGAATTAAAACCAGAACTGTTTTTATTAGGTATAATAGTACTTAATGTTATCAGGAACCTCCAATACATCATATTTCTTATAGTAACTGCTGCCAGGATCTCATTTGCTCAAAATTGGAAACAGGATACCATTCCCTCCGAGCCAGCAATAATAAGAAAGATCCTCGAATGTGCTGAAATGGACAGGCTAATGTTGATATTAAAAGATAAAGAAGAAATAGAGTATAATAAGATATGGAACCTTTGGTATGAGTGGTTAGGAAGAAGATGCAAAGGCATCAATCGATAGCAAAAATGAGAAAATAATAATCAATGTTGTATATATCTATATAAATGTGTATATATGTATATAAGTTAGATTAAGAAATAAGAGTATAAGTGAATAGAATGAAGAAGTAATTGATATAGACATAGACTTTATTAACCAGTATGAACACCATTACAGAATTGTTGTAAAAAGTGGAAATTGTTTTTAAAATGTTTAAATGTTGAATAAATAAATAAAAATAAATAAATAAATTTAAAAAGTCAATTCCCAGAATTCCCCAGCCAGCCACATTGGCTGGAGAATTCTGTGAGTTGAAGTCAATGCATCTTAAAACTGCCTTTAAGACTGCACAACATTGCTATACAGAGTGCTCTTTTAAGAAACCCCATCTTTCATACAAGCCTTTCATCACATAATTAAATTTATATCAGAGCCTCAATATCTCTCTGAAGCAGATGTATCCAGTAAATATTATTGCGGTTGAACAAAACAAATAGAAGCATATTTTGCTAAGCAATCATCAGAAGCTGTTTCTCAAAGGATTAGGATGTCTCACAGCTATAGTAGGGCCTCTCTAAGTTATTTGTGCTGTATTTATTTTAAGAAATGTTTTCATAAAAAATATGTCATTCAAAGGAATAGGAGAGGAGGTAGATGCAAATGACAAAAACCCAAGGCACATACATTTGTATTTATATCACATGACAAGTAGTTAAAAAAAAACCTCATTCTTTCAACTTGCTCTTGAGGTATATATTCTGTATCTGGATGCCCTCTGGTAATTGGCCCAAGGTCACCAAACAGGTCATCAAAGAAGAGATAAAGCAGGTCTGTTACTTGCAGTCTTCTGTTTTGTTTTTGTTTTTAATCTATAACCACTACACTAAACTGGTTCATTTCTCAAACAGAAAAAAAATATTTTCTTTATTTAATCATTCAGTTAAGAATAAAAATTATGAGAACACTTATACCAGATTTTCACCCTGAATAAAGCAAGACAGACTGTGTGGAAGAGAAAAAAGCCAAAACACCCAAGTTTTATGAATGAATGAATGAATGAATGAATGAATGAATGAATGAATGAATGAATTTTTCATTGGCCAAGTGTGATTACACACACAAGGAATTTGTCTTGGTGCATATGCTCTCAGTGTACATAAAAAGAAAAGATACATTTGTCAAGAATCATAAGGTACAATACCTAATATAGTCATAGGGTACAAATAGGCAATCAAATCATGGTATTGTGTTGAGTTATTTCAAAGCAACTTTCATGGAAAGTAACAGAATCCAGGTTACTTCTATGAAGTTTTACTTCTAGTAAAGCGATAAAAATTGTAATTAGTATTTTTAATTATTGAAATATTTTGATAATAGATCCATTGTGTTGTTTACATTTTGTTTTTGTTTTTAAATACAAAATTAATGTTAAAAGATCTTGATGAATAAGATCTATTATCTAGATTTTCTCTAGATAATCACAACAAAGAGTAAAACCATGTTACTATCATTGGAAGAAGTTTTAGGGACCAGAATGAGTGGGCAACTCATGTATCTTTTCAACTCCACAGCTACAAAGTAATTGTTCTGGTGGATTGTCTATCTGTCTGGAGCCAATTCTGTTGCTCTATGGAGATACAGGGTGGAAAGGTGAAAAGGCAAGATAAAGACCAGGAAGTGGTATTACATAATCTAAGGCCTATTTGAGTGCAAATGAATTCCATTCCATGAATTTGAATGAATACACATGGAGTATTTTCCAGCAGTATTTATTTATTCAAATTGTTCCAAGAGAATTTATTTCTATCAAATTTTATAAAGGGCATATATCTAATATATACCAGACTGTAATTCTTTGTTATTTAAAAGTTACAGTGCTCCAACACTAGAAATCAGTGGATTTGAAATTCAGATTGCACAAGACTAAATATTGATTTATTTTCTTCTAATGTCCACTACATATTGAATAAAATGTTGAGAATTTAAATACATAAAATGTTGAGAATCTAAATACATATAAAGTCATGTATGTAAAGTGTACAATGACGAAGAAACTAAGAAAGCATTTTCATAATCATGCATTTTTTAAATGAAGGAAATTTGATATGCAAATTCTATTATATTTTTCAACACAATGTCAAAGCAGTAGTTTGTGTCAAATTACATATGGAATTTGCAATAAAACTGAACAATAATAAAGCTTTAATTACATTATGTAGTGGCTCAGCCTTATATGAAAGTATCAATTTCAAATAAAGTTGAGCTCAGGAATATTTTAGCATAATGCTTTTTTTATTTCTAACTGCAGCAGAGAAGTTTAGCTAGCATAGATGGTACAATATTTTATTATGATCCCAAAGTACAAATCTAAGCAAATCATCACCCAGTTAACATTATTCTTGAAAACATTTTGAAATAAATTGCCTTTTAGTTTTTAAATGTATTAAATAAACATATTTGCACATTTGCTCATTCACTCTCACGTTACAGGTGTGCAGGTTATCTTTTATCCCACATTAAAAGATTATTTGCTTTGTATAAATCTAGAAAGGGTGATTTTTGTAGTAGTAGTTGTTGTTCCTCTCTTGTGAGCAGAGGAGTGAACTAAAGAGATATTTTACTCTACGCCAGTAGTCTCTAAAAATTGGCAACTTTAAGTCAGCCATGAGGAATTCTGGGAGTTGAAGTCCACAAATCATAAAGTTATCAAGTTTGGAGAACCCTGCTCTACATTATTCTAGTGCCACAAGCAAACATTTATTCACCCTCATCACACTCTTAACCCATCCATTAAAATCTAAAGGAAGTGCGAGGAAAGGATTTGATGGAATTCACCTTCATTTCCTGGTAGATGCATCGGTTATCCATCTTTCTACCCTTTGGATAATTTTGTATACCAAAAGTTTGCATAAAACACAAATGGTTTAGTTCAGACAAACTGCAAACCAGAGAGGACGAAAGGAGTAAATAGAAACCATTTTTGTAGGCACATTTACCTCATTCATATCTTAATATATACAGTTGTGGTTACTGTTGCAGTTATTATTTGGGAAAAGATAAAGTATAATGGTAAATTAATATAGTCTGTTTTGCATATTAATTATGCTGAAAGAAAAGTCAACTAATTTCACCAGCATTCCTGAAAACAAGCTGTGTTATTTCTTGATTTGGGGGAAAAATCAAAACTATAACAAATAACTTTTTATTTGACTTGGATTGGCAATAACTGTAACTTATATATCCAAATAAATTATATACTTTACAATGAGAATGTATGGTTTTCTCTTGCATGAACAGTTATTATTCATATTTATAATATTTTCTGCCTAAGAATGCAGGCCATAAGCATATTATTAGCATCAAGAATAAATACTTGTCAGCCACTTCTGAGTAGTAGTCTCTCAGAGATAATTCTTCTTCTTTCCCAAAAATAAATAACAAGTGGTAGGCTTAACTTTTAAAAAAGGAAGAAAAATTCATGGCATTTTTGCTTTTGGACTCAGCAAGAATTGCAAAATGATGTAAATTCTTCTTAGCATGAAATGGGTTTTTCACCACACTGAGCAATAAAGTACTAACTTATAAACAATAAATAATAGTTTCATGAAAGGTAAAACTTATATAGTGTGATTGAAAGTAAGTATACTTGCTGACACTGACAAAGAAATTACATGTTATCTTTTGTCCTGTGTGAAAAATATAATCGGCAAACCTTAATTAAAGGTAAAGGTTCCCCTTGCACATATGTGCTAGTTGTTTCCAGCTCTAAGGAGTGGTGCTCATCTCCGTTACAAAGCTGAAGAGCCAGTGCTGTCCGAAGATGTCTCCGTGGTCATGTGGCTCTCATGACTAAACACTGAAGGCACATAGAGCACTGTTACCTTCCCACCAAAGTAGTCCCTATTTTTCTACATGCATTTTTACATGCTTTCAAACTGCTAGGTTGGCAGAAGCTGGGACAAGTAATAGGAGCTCACTCCATTACATGGTGCTAGGAATTTGAACCGTCCAACTGCCGACCTTTCTGATCAACAAGCTCAGCATCTTAGCCACTGAGCCACCGTGTCCCTTAAATCTTAATTACTTTTTTTTAACAGTTATCATGAAATGTCAAATGATTCAGTATATTTATTTAGTTAATATTTGCATTCATTCATGATAGAATGAGACTATGGACTTCCTTCATGTCACTTTCTTATGAAAAAGGCTTAAAGGACATATACAATATAGTTATTAGCTACAGACAAGTGGACAAAGAGTGCAGAGAAGAGCAACAAAGATAATTAGAGGACTGGAGGCTAAAACATATAAAGAATGGTTGCTGGAATTAGGTATGTTTAGTTTAATGAAAAGAAGGACTAGGGGAGACATGATAGCAGTGTTCTCAGGGGTTGCCACAAAGAAGAGGGAGTCAATCTATTCTCCAAAGCACCTGAGAGCAAGACAAGAACCAATGGATGGAAACTAATCAAGGAGAGAAGGAACCTAGAACTAAGAATAAATTTCATGACAGTTAGAACAATTAATCAGTGCAACAACTTGCCTCCAGAAGTTGTGAATTCTTCAACACTGGAAGTTTTTAAGAATTTTTTAAATCTTAGCCCATACCTTAAATGTATTTTAAACATGAATCTAGTCCAAACAATATGAGTAAGAGAAAATAAAAGGTACTTTTGCAAAGGAGCTTTAAAGCTTTCAATCTAGCTATTTGTTTCCGAAATTAATCACAGCAACCATTAAGATAAATGATTTTAAACTGAGTTTCAGAAAGATAATAAATATACATTATACATATACATTTATAAAAAAATGTTTGAATGGATATCAATAGATACAGAGTTGGGAGGTACCTTGTAGGTCATCTAGTCCAACCCCCTGCCCAAGTAGACCTCCTACACCATTTTTGACAGATGGCAGTCCAGTCTCTTCTTAAAAGCCTCCAGTGATGAAGTTCTCACAACTTCTGATGGCAAGCTGTTCCATTGGATGATTGTTCTCACTGTCAGAAAATTTCTCCTTATTTCCAGGTTGAATCTTTCCTTGATCAGTTTCCATCCATTATTCCTTGTCTGGCCTTGTCAGGTGCTTTGGAAAATAGCTTGACTCCCCTCCTCTCTGTAGTAGCCCCTCAAATATTGGAACAGGTGCTGATAGTAATATTCATGCTTTGCCACTGATTGGTGTTCCAGCTCACTTTATTTCAGAAAATCCAATCATTCTAACTAAACAAAAATGTGTCTGCTAAAAAAGATATAATACCTAACTAAGGTTGTTTCAGAACTTCAATCTTTCTGAGTTCTGATATGCAATGAAATGAAATGGTACATAATGATTTTTTGAGTTCTGATTTATTCATTCATTCATCCATTCATCCATTCATCCATTCATCCATTTATTTATTTATTTATTTATTTATTTATTTATTTATTTATTTATT